TGTAATGTATTGTTAAATTAATTCTAATTAACATAGATATGCAAATTAGTTGTTGCATATAAGTGATCAACTAAAGGTCGAACAGATAGTATAATTTGACTTTACTTCGAAGAAGAACGCAGAGAATAACGATTACGATATCAGCTAACGGGGACAGAGGTATTATGGACAATATTTGTGTTGTTTGTATTAGTGTATTTCGTTTGTATTTAGTTTAGATTTGTAAAGTTTATGTATGTTTATTTGTTTATTTCTAGTTTTTACGTGTCGACCTGCCTGTGTAAAATTAGTGTTTGAAATATATGTTACCGTAACGATTGTCGATGCAGTATGTTGTGTCAATTAAGCCTGTCCTGATCGCTGAACATTACATTCTGTATGACTGTATGTTAGTGATGTGATCTCATTGTTCATTATTAAATCATTATAAGGCTGAAATAATTTGAAACTCGTGTGAAAATAAATCCAGTATATATGTACAGTACGTACCTTGATATACAGTACAATCAATCAACATCATTTCATATTCCAGGCAACACTATCAGTGTTTATTCAGTCGCATTTGAGGCCGAACAGCATCTGATATATACGAGGGTTGCCAAAGCGAACAAAACAATGTCACAAATAGGAGCGCCATAATCCGACAAATTGATACAATATGATGACGAATGTTGCACAGTTTTGTGTACATGTGTGTTAACAGCTTATATCTGAAGTAGTTTTTATAAAATTTGTTAAAACTTTGAGAATAAATACATAAACAATCAAAAAAACATGTATATTTTTAAGCAAGAAAATCGTAAGCGCCAGCCCTAATTGTAGTCAGCAACATAACATTGTCGTTACTGCGCATGCGATAAATCTCCAAGAATCTTGGAGATTTCATCGTATTTTCCCAGGGTCTTCCTCAGCTCACGCGCCACCACGAGGAAGTCCCTGGGGACGAGGTTGGGTCGGCTTCAATTTCGCTTACCTCAGGAAACTTACCTTTAATGACGTTCAATGCGTCATAAAACGACGTAAGCGCATCTTTATAAGATCCAACATAGATATGAGCTGTTGCTATCGCTATATGACACTCAAATACTTCGATTTTATCACAGGATTTTTGAGAAATTTTTGGAAGTTGCAGAAGTGCGTGTTTAAGGGACTCAATTGCTGTAATATATTCCCGCATTTTGTTTCGAAAGCGGCCCTTCCACATAAAACACCGAAAGATCCAAAGATATTGTTTACATTCAGGAAGTGATTCTGATACTTGGATTGCTCTTTCAATTGCCTTTCTCGCCGAATTAAACTTTTCAATATTAACTAAAGTTACAACCATTTTAATGTACCATGCAATCGTCAACTCCCGATTACCAACGGCGCTTCTCAGTGTTATCTCTAAGTCAATGTCAAGAGCTTCTTGAAGGAACGCTAGACCAGCTTTATGCTTTCCTAACTCAACTTGTTTTGAACCTAATGTCAAATACAGTATAGGTAATAACCACTTAAAATTTCCCTTGATCACCGGTAAATTACTTTCCAACAATTCCATGTACAAGATTTCATCTACCTTCCAATTTATAAGTTCCACAAAAATAAGACTATGCTCAAGTGAACGTTCCAGATCGCAATCCGTGGTCACTTCAAGTGCAGTTTTAAAACATTTTACATATTCAGTTTTGTTGCCAAGAACATTATGCACGAGTCCAATAATACAGTAACAATCAACTACATTTCGATACCCGTTGGAGCTTGGCTTCTCAGCATACAGTTTTTTCCTTATTTCCAGAGCCTGTTCAAATGTTGCAAGACCAGAAGATAAATCATCGAAACACCGCTGCGAATTTCCTAGAAGAACTAAGATTTGAGCGATTTTTTCAGAACTTTCATCGCAGAATTTTCTTTTTATCCTAAGGGCTTCCTCAAAAGATGCAATAGCGGATTCAAATTCATTTATGTATGTATATGATTGTCCTTTCCCGATATAAACCTCAGACCTCAGTTAGATTAGCATTACTCTCGACGCTCTCATCATAATTATAGGCCTACCAACCCTGTATTCTGCACTAACCTTATTCGAGCACGAAATATGGCAGGACAAGCGTCCCTGCAAACTTTTTCACATTCGCACTTTTCACTCAAACAGTAAAACTATAGTTCTAAACAGTACACACGCAGAATTGCGTACTGAATGTTGTCACACAGACTCTCCCTATCTACTCTTTCAATTTCATAGTTGGGCTGAGAACCGGTCTAAAACATAGCTGGTAAATGGGATAATATAAAGAACATTTGGGCCGGGTGGTTGCCTTGGAGGGGTAGGGCTTGAAAACAAAACTTTCAGCCCCATCAATGTATAGTTGCATTTTTTTGCAGCTGCTCTACGCACACATTACATTCTACAGTTTTAGTCGTCCGAACTGCTACCTTCTTAATAGCCTGCGAACAGGCTCACTGGGAGAAAGGTGAGCCTGCACGGAACCATGCGTTTTATTCAATCATCCCCTTTTCGCATCTGCTAAACGCGAACCAATCAGCGTCGACTGCGATAAACAAACTGTCAACTGTCAAATTGACGCAAGGCGTGTACATTGTGCAACGAAGAAATACTGAATATTACATGTAAAATGTATACATAATGTGTATGTGTATATGTACAATAATACAAAGCATTAGCGGGCCGCACAATATATTACTCGGAAAAATATAGAATTCTTCAAATATTAAATAGATATCAATACACATACAAACATAAAGCCGAATAGAATACTACCATTGGCACTGAATGTACAGTAATACTTGTACTGTGGTCTAAATAAATGATAAATGAGCATGTATTTATTAATTTCTTCGAAATCATGAGTGTGCCAATAGTGGAAGCCGTATCGACGACGAAATTGTCAGCAGTTTATACAGTAAATAGTACAACGTTTAATATACGATATATATTTATCTAAATGACATACCAGCGAGGATCAACAATATAATTATTCGTACATATTTGGGTATCTTTTGTATGCCTTCGCTTGCTGACTTGCTCACTAATGAGAATAATCCGTGAAGCCACGACGACCTCAAAATGTAGTACTAGTACAATATAGTCTGATGTCAATCCGAAGACGAAGTTCAGAGTACTGTTATAGTATTGAATTTAAGCGATAGATTCAAGTAATTTATGATAGACTTTTTTGCTGTGATGCTTTGCTATTGCTTTTGGTTTCCATTTCTAGTTTTATTTGTTCGATAGTCTTAATATTATATATAATATTAAAATGAATAAAGTTCAAATTCTTCAAAATGCTGTTGTTGACATTTGCTATTTTTAGTAATTTTGTCAACGAGTGTAAGCCAATCAGAAGTCTGCGTTTCTATACGAACGCCACTACCAAGAAAATCTATAGTTCCGTGCAGGCCCTCTATTCTTCGCGCCGCCCGTAACCCAGGGCCTGTTCGCAGGCTACCTTCTTAAAGAATATTTAAAAGACTAAGTTAATTTCGACAAATATTTGTAGCTAATATTGTAAAATTGTAATCAAATTATATACTTAACTAAAAATAACATATTTTTGCTTTTAGGAATTTTCCTAATACTATAACTTTATATTATTGAATTCTTAGATTATATTAAACCCGGCCAACGTTACTGTTTCTCATTTTTCAAGGCTTAAAAGTATACGTCTCTCATGTCTAACCAGTGTATTTTATGTTTTTCCAAGCTTTGCTATTCATATTATTCAAATGAATACAATCTATACAATTAGTATATAAGCGTTTATTTAGCCGTGTGAGAAAACAATTAAGAAACAGCTTTAAAGACTGGGGCTTAGTCAGCGGTTATGTTATAGAAACGGGCTCAGCGAGATAGTCTAGCGCTTAGTCAGCGGTTATGTTGTAGAAACGGCCTCAGTAATATAATCTAGCGCTTTTTAAAACGATAAGACAACAAACACATGTTTTGTAAAAGTTTTATTAAAAATACTCCTTTAAAAGTGAATAAAATGTAAAACAAAAAGAATTCGGAGTAACATTTGGAGGTCCCACCGAGACAATGGAAGGTAATATGTAGAAAAATCGATGTTTGGGCGAGAAAATACACGAGATTTGCGAGATTTATGATACTTTATATACGTGAGTTATTGACAAATTGTGGATATTGGATATATATCTGTATATAAAAGTTTAATACAAGTTCTACAACGGGAAGTTGGATGATCTACTGTTGAAAAATGTCCGAGGATTTGATTATAGAGCTTCAGTCTCGTATGCTGGGCTTAAAACGAATGGAATTAGCCCGATTTGGAGAAGAAATAAAATGGATAAAGGTAGAAGAAATCGGAGAAAAGGGTAGGTTAGAACTGATTAAAATCATACGTACAGTATTTGAAGAAGAAGTACTAGTGAGCAGCTTGACAGTCTATTGGGGAAAATACAAACTATTTTAGACACCAAAACAATAAGTCAAAATGAAGAAAGTGTGAAAGCAAAAGAGAAAAGTGAACAGGAACTGAAACAGCTCAAAACACAGTATGAAAAGTTACTAGTAGAGCAGGAAAAACTCAAAGATCAAATAAATACTATCCAAACCCAAAATGAAACAGCTGAGAACATAACTATAACTAGTGAATCAGTAACACAACAAGACAAGCCACAAAGTGTATTTCTTAACATGAAAACAAGCATGCTCCGTCGGGAATTCAAGATACAAGGACAAATCAGAGAGCCAGGACATAAAGATAAACTAGCATATCAGTCACTCATTTCACAGATTGAAATTGG